CTTTTTATCGCTTTTAAGTTGATATTATTAGAGAGGTGAAGCGAACCAAGACACGGACGTCAATTTTTAATATTTATTGGGCCATTTACATATACATATCACGTAATTATTATATATTTGCATATCTAAACTCTAAGCTTTTCATATGTAGACGTCTAGAATTCAAATTGTTTACATTAAGGCTCTGTTTGGTGCAGCTGCAGTTTCTCAGCTTTTCAGTTGCAGCTGCGCTGCCCCGAGAAACTGCTGCGGTAAAACTAGTTGTATGTTTGGTGCAGCTGTGTGAAAATAGATGTTGGGCAGTTATTTCTAGAAAAATGACTATGATGCCCTTGTTTGGTAAAACTGTTTAAAAAAGAATTGTGAGAGCGGCATATTTGACACTTCTGAAGCTGAATTTCAGTTTGAAACAGTTCAAAAATTCAGATGCCCAACTAACTTAACGATGAGTACGTATAGTTATAAAGAAAGAGGAAAAAACAACAATTTATAAAAACCATAGCCAAAATTTCGTAAATTATCTATCCAATGAAAACCACAGCTAGTATTACTAGTAAATTTTAATGGCATGAAATGGTATTATGCATATTTGCTACTAGCTATGAGTCCAAAAAAAAATGAAAAAGATGTCTCACATCACTGTCTCATTTTCTCTACTTTTTGTCTCATTTCACAGCTTGTGTGTGTGTGAAATTTACTTCTCTTCTCATCAGAATGTCACAGGTGGTACCACAAGTAAATTTCAATGGCTTCGAATGAAATTAGACATATTTGCTACTAGCTATGTGACCAAACAATAAAAAAAAAAACATAACTCACATCAATGTCTCATTCTTGTTACTTCTCTGTCTCATTTCGCAGTGTGTAGAGATATCCTTCTCTCATCACCAGAATGTCTTGCGTGATATCATAGTAAATTTCAATGACATGGAATAAAACTATACAAATTTGCTACTAGTAGTGAGATTTAAAAAAAAAAAGAAAATCAGGGAAAGATCCACAACAACAAATTCATCACCATATAGAAGCACCAAACCAAAAAAAATACAGCTGAATTTACACAATGCAGAGCAACGAGAAATGAAAATGTCTCAAAAAATATAAGGAGGGGGGATACCGCAATAATGTGGACTTCGGCACGTTGGTTAGGGCAGATGAAAAAAAAATCTCCGCTGGAAATAGAAAAAACAGAAACAGTAATGCGGGGTTGAAAGAGGGGTATGCACGTAAAAATCTTGAAAATAAACACGAGCCGCGGGGTCAATCCCGCGACCCGATTTTCGTTGTGCGGCACTGCTGCCGCAATTGGAAAGCCGCCCCAAACGACGAAATTTTGTGACCCTCTGACGCACGCACTAAAACAACCGCCCAAAGAGAGCCTAAATAAAAAAATATATATATTATTATTAATTATTTTTTTAACAGTAAAATGTATCTTTTCATATATGAATTCATAACACAAAGTGATAGAAAAATAAAAAAAAACAAAATTTAGGTGTTTAATATATAAATATATAGAAATTATATGTCGTAAATGTAAGTTTCCTTATTTTATCTTGTGGAAGTGTTTCGTATGGTCAAACTCTCTCGGTACGGATAGTTGCAATCATTATATTTTAAGTATGTATTTTATGTAAATAATATTTTATTAGAGAGATGGAGGAGAAAACAGAGCATTATTTCTTCTAATATTTTAGTGTGCGCTGCCCAACTCTCATGGTACGAATTATTATATTTTAATTATATATATTCTTAATATAAATAGTTAGTGTTGACTTGTTAAATTTGTAATAAAATCATAATTATATAGCTATCATAAAAGGTGAGAATTTGCGCGTAATTTTGTTTGAAAGTAAATATGTTTTGGATGATTGGAAATTTTCTTCGTCTCATTGAAGTTTGATGTGGGAACAATAATTATTTATCAGGCAGGTATCTGAATATATTTTAGATAATGGTTCTTCCTAATTAAAATTCAAGATTATTAGGACAACAATTTTAGTATGTTTATGATCAAACTGACTGTCTCAATAAGATGAACCCAATGATGTCAAGATTGGTTCTATCGGAGTCCAACTGAGTCTAGATCAAGCCGTTGAGGCACAATTGAAGATTTTGAATCATCAATTGAATGATAAAATGAACTCTATATTTGACATATTTATAGTTAAATTGACCAACAATATGAGAGGAATCATACGAGCCTATTATTGTTGAATTCCTTGGTCATTAAGGCACTCAATCATTAAAAAATCACTTATAATCAATGGAGACCAGTATAAATCATCCAATCACGTGGTTGGAAAAGTTATGTCCCAAAAGACCAAAACACCCTTCTTGAAAAAGGCTATAAATTATCCCATTTCTTCACTTGAGGGGAGCAGAAGAAGAGAAGTTGTGGTTTGTTTTGGAGAAAAAGACTAGATAAGTAACTATAGCTCTTCATAGCCGTCAACTACCATCGGCCACCGTTGATCGTCGACAGCAATCACCGCCCATCACTTGCAGTTTGTCGCCCTCGATCATCAGTGACCACTGCTTGCAATTATTGTAATAAAAATATAGCTATTGTGTTTAAAAGTTATATTTTATTTGTTTTTTTGTAAAGATAGGTGTAATTTTTGATGTAAAATTATAACCACATTTCTCCCTGCCACGAGAGAAGGGCTGTTTCCATTTTTTTTCCCTTTCAAGGATTTTCCACATGAAAAATCTACGTTTCCCCTTCAACTACTTTTCTTTTATCTCTTTATGTGTTGAATATTCGTGAATCACTAAGATATTAAATTATCACTCAATCGCAGTAAATTTTATGATATATTAATGAGAAAATCACAAACCCTAAAGTCATGGCACTCAATATGCAAAAGCAACACCACGAGTTTGAGATTAAATCAAACTATCAGCAAATAATTTTATTTTATAAGGTATATTAAGATAAAAGTTTTCGGGAGAGGTTATCCCTTAT